TATAATAATTAATTTTCTTTTCATTCCATTAAGTAGGGAAAGGCAATGTAATTATTACTCAGATATTTATTTATCATTTTTAATAAATTTATATTTTTATATTTAATAAAATTTCTTTAATTTATATATTAGAAACTGTGAGTATTGTGTTTTGTTGGAGCCAAATGCTGATTTTTACATGACTGGCAAAAAACAGCATTTGGCTCCACCCTACAATAATGATATTTATTCTAATTGAAGTAGAATCTTTTTAGATACAATCCACAGTAGCTTTGTTTGTGAATAAACTTGGAATACACAAAAGATATATTTTTATATCTTTGTAATAAATGTTTAACATGTATACTACCTTAGGTTAAACATGACTCTAGAACTTAGCTGATCATGATAGGATTGTAAGAATAAAAATATCATGCTTTGGCAGTAGATTTAAATGTTAGTGATATCACAGACATACTAAATCTTATTCAATACAAAATAGGAATCAAAGCCAACTGATTGATACTGTGATATATTAACTTTGTTGTGTTTGAATAGCTATTACATAGTCATACCAGAACATTTTACTATGTCAACTAGCTGAGGAAAAAAAGATAATTATGTATGGCTTCATATCCAACACAGAAGATAGAAATAGCCTTCAAGGGGAAATAAAACCTGTTTCCTTTACAGACATATCGCAAGGCTATTAACTCAAATGACGAAGTAAAACGTACAAAACGAAATACATAATAATTTATGGGTGTATGCTTACATGAAATACATGTAAACATCTAAATTTATGCAACTCCTTTGTAATAGCTTAACTCTTTACTTCGACATTAGTCAACAATCTTGTTTAATAACAAAAAAGGCATGTACTTACGTAAGATACTCTAAATAACAGACGGTTCACAAACATCACAGACAAAAATTGATTTGAGTTATTGCACTGTCGATTTAGACGAGAAACAACGAGCATTCAACTATTCACATATAATTTAATGGTACAATGTTTTCACGTTTGCGTGTTAGGACAGAGTTAAGGAGTTCATTTTAGAAAAAAATGGTTTAATTTGGAAAGAAACCCGCGAGAACGAAACACCATTTTGAAAGATTGAAGAAAAAATTGTCAAGGACTTTTCACTGCTTGTCAGGCGGTTGCGTCATTGCGGCAATATGACTTTTGTATTCTTAAAAATCTTGTAGCATTAACGTACAACGTTTTTGCCGTTTAAGGGCAGGTACAGACATACCGGCCGGTTTGGGTTGGTCCGGTCGGTACTCCTCCGGTCCGAACCGGACAGCAGTGTTGCTAGGTTTTAATTTCGTATTGCTCTTATACATAGTTTATACGGTCTGTGCTCGATGGTTTAAACGATCAAAGAAAAAAGTCGGTTGAATGAAATCACGATCACAAGGAATCTTCTTTCTCAGTTAGGAGCTTCTTTATTGTAATTTATACATACTAATATTTTAAAGCTGAAGAGTTTGTTTGGTTGAATGCGCTAATCTCAAGAACTAGGTAAACCCTTTTATCGAGGAAGGTTAAAGGCTATTTTATAATAACATCCATTACACTATTTCCAGTAGGAGCGGAGGATCGATGAAAAATGTTGCGAAAATGGAATAAAATTATTCTATTTGATAGCTTCAGTTGCGTGCGCTGCGTAAATGGTTAAGTTACACAAAAATCAAGTAGACGACGGAATTGTTCCCCTTTAAAAGTTCTTTATATATGTCTATCTTTTGAGTTTGACTCACTATAAACCTAATTCCTCAAATTAACCACATTCACTGACTGTTAAGGAGACACAAAGCTCTCTGGGTCAGCTAGTATACGTATATTTTGAATTTTTACCACAACTCCCTTAGTTTTTAGAGTTCCGTAGTCTTGACAAGGTACCCTTATAGTTTCGTCATGTCCGTCAGAGGTTTTGCTTGGAGACTATTGGCACTAGAGAGCTGTAATTTTGTGGAGGTTGTAACGTACCTCAGGAATCATACCATGATTTCGACTATCATAGGTTCCATTTCACACATTTTATCATATAAGCGCATTCTACCGACTATACCACGGCGAGTGTTCTGAGGAGCTATTCTCGCTTATTCCTCCATCACCTTTTCTTCAGAGGACCACGCGCGCTGGCCTACGTTGCCACCGACTTACTGTGGCCACTATTCCTACACGACAAAGAAATTTGGCGACTCATTTCTTTGTCGTACTATTCGTAAGTGGAATTCTATGCCCGCGCACGTGTTCCCTCCTTCCTATAATCTGGGGTCCTTTAAGAGAGGCGTGAAGAAGCATTTTTGCGGGCCGGCAAGGTGAGGATGGTTGGTGTAACAGTTTATAACTGCTGTACCAGCTATCTTCGCGTTTGAACTTTATCACCACTTAACATCAGGTGGGGTAGAGTCATTTGCCTACCTAATCATATAAAAAAAAAATATAACATCATCGATATTCATCAGGCATATATTTTATTATGTATTTCTGGAAACACACAATTTCAAAAATATCACACACTATTCATCATTTTGTAAATATGTATAATAATTCCTTCTGTACTGAAAATCACTATTCCAGAGTGCTGGACACTTACCGGCATTTCTCTTTATTCTGTTATTTATTTAATTTCATTAATTTTTCTCCGATTTTATCTATTTTTAGTTTATTTATTTTCTTGACATTTGTGACAACTTAATGTTTTTTATCCGTTGCCATGGCTACCCATGACACGGATGCTCTCTCCAACTACGTCTATGCCTATTCAACCTCCACAGTCCACCTACTTTGATTCTTTTTAGTTCGATTCGAACCGTGTCTAAATTTAAATGGTTCCGGACCTATTAAAAGCCGAGCCTCCCTGATCTTTCATTCATTTCTAGGGCAAAAGTTGCCTACTCAACTTTTGATAGCTCGCTACCGAGCTCTAAATTAATACAAGGCCTTGTCCCGGGGCCGACTGCCCCGGGACTCAAGAAAGACCTCAAAGCTTTACAGCACCTATTAGCTCTCTAAACAACTACTTAACCCAGCTTCCTCGGCCAGCCTCCAACTGCTTCAGCCCGCCTTCTACCGATTCCTGCCGTTCCACCAACTCCTGCCACCGGCCGATATTCGCCGGCCAACCTACCAGCAGCGCCCGCCACCCACCACTAGGGCAGGCCAAGACCTGAGACGCCTGAACAGGAGCGCTTCTGCCTCCTAGGAGTGTGATGCTTAGGTTGCAGTAAAATTGTCTCCGTGTTTTAAGGGTAAATATATAGGGCATTGGAGCATTGTTATTTTTACACGACTGCGGCAAAATACAACACACCAAAACTGAACTAAACTTCGTCGTCACTTAGTAGATATAGAATAGGTACCTACTTAGAAATAGGTAGTCAGTAAAATTCTTATAAATTTTCGTTCAATAGTTAGGCATTTATAGTCTTCATATTTACTGCAAAATATTCTAGAAAAGACAACATTATGAATAGGTAACACTTTGTTGTAAAGATTTTTAGAAAATTTTATTTAACATTAAAGTTATCACTTATTATCGCAAGTTTTTTTTATATTTTAAATTTACTATTTCAAACAAAATAAAATCACATTGCTATGTCTTTCTTTGAACGGAAAACTAGGTAAGTACCTAATTAGCACTTACATGAACATTTTATATTTGTTGTAAAGTTAGAAAATATCAATAGGTTAACTAAAGGTTAAATATTTTACCGCATAGGTGACAAACGAGCTTGAGGCTCGCCTGTTGATAAATCGTTAGTGCATTATATGGACGATAGCAGAAGCATCATTTCATCATTCACGCGTTGCAGACTGTAAAAATCTTTTCACTCCCTTTTTGAAAAAATACATGCCTACTGTAGTCATGGCCATGTATAGAGGTATGGAGGCCAATAGGAGGCCCTGGGGTAACGAAGGGGGGTTAAGGAGACCCCGCCCTAACAGGTTGGACGCTTATGTACTGTTTTCTGTATGGACGTGCATTCAGATACGCGAATCGAAATTGGATCAGAAAACCGGGATATAATGTGCTTCCTGGTCCCAAGAGGTAATATTTTAACACTAGGTTAGGTTAGGTTTGTGTTGTGACCAAAACGCGCGACCCGAGCGAGCAAAGCGAGCGTGCCGCGGCAGCGGCTGGCAAGCGCCAGAAAAAAACGTTAATAGACCTTTTCAGCAAAAAGATTTAAGTATCAACTTTCGGGCCCAGGAAGTACAGTTTGACCGGAAACAGAATCAAGAAACCGTACATACATATGGGCCTAGCCTAAATCCAGTCCTGATTGTAGTCTGGTGATTAAGTGGTGACATTTTGTTTATTTGTTTACATTTCGAGAAACTCGATCACGCACGTGGTTTTATAGTGCGTTCTGTCTTCGATCCTGGCAGCTAAGCAATTTTCGCAGTGGTCGGCCATTGGATAGGTGATCAAAAATGTATTAACTGAAGCTCCACCGCGCTTCGGAATGTACGTTAATTACGTTGATCCTAGGTGCGTCTGCAGTCGTTAGTACCCACCAATTCGCACTGGGTCCGAGTGTGTAGTGGGTCAAAATTCAAAATTCAATATAGTTTATTCAGTCTAGGATGTTAAAAGCACTTGTGAATGTCGAAAAGCTACGCCATCGGTTCGCAAATCTACGGCGGGAGACCTTGTACTGAGAAGAACTGGCAAGAAACTCAGCAAGGGCTGTTTTTTTCTCCGTGTATTATATACAGAGTCGTCAATTTGAAAAATGACTTCAATATGAGATAACTGATTCATGGCTAATTTCCCAGTCTTCCTATGCCATCGATAGGAATAACACTGAGGAGATTAAAAGGCTGATTTTATATCTATGCCCTGTGCCTTTCTGTGTTCTTATTATTTAGGCCCGATTCGGGCTAAATCAAATTTTGACTGTATTATACTTACTAAAAAGTTAGTACTTGACTGATAATTTGCGTGGACAGGTTAGTATAAAAAATTAAGTTCGTCGTTTATTTATCATAAATATAATTATTAATAGTGCGTTTCCTTACCTTATAGTTATTTTTGCACGGTAGTTTTGCATCATAAATAAATACTTACTTAGGCTTAAATTAAACAATTACATTATCCTTAATTAATTAGTAATACTGAAATTAAGTTATTAATTGATTATTAACACTTAGGTCTTAAGTATAAATTTCGACATCATCACTTTCATTAACATAGGAAATTTGTCTCCAAGAAGCATAATTTGCATTGAGGCCATTGGCACCCAAGTAGTAAGGATACCCCTTGCCAGTGGACAAGTAAAAAATTCCATGACTACTCCTATTCACTTTAGGACCCATCACATTGGTTTCGACGGGACGTCGATCATAACATTTGGCGTCTCTCGCTTGCTGGATACTGTCACATTTGATAGCGATGAATTCCTTTGGGTTTTTCAACGCTGAAACCCAAAGAGCCAGCACTCTGAAATGACTGCAAGTAGAAGTGCAGGGGTAAAGTAACAGCTCAGAAGGTTGGTATTCTCCGCCATTCACAAAAAAATCCACATGCCCCATTTTGGTAGCCATTCCGTAGCCATCTATATTGGTGTGTATGACTTCGACGAAATCTGCGTTGGAGGAGTCCAATCTATCACCAGGACCGAGTGTCCTGAAGCAGGGTCCTGACGGTTCCAATGCTGTTATCTTGGAGATGTTTCGGCCGGTGAATCTCTGGAAGTTCTTGGCTATGTAGCTGACGGTTTGGCCTCCGAGACTGAACCCAAGCAGCTCTAATTTTGAAGGATTCAACCCTGATTCCATCAGTTGTGTCAGTACTTCAGCCACGTGCTTTCCCACCGGACGCATTAGTCTGCTGGCTCTGTCGAGTAGAAAAGAAACAGTGAGTATTCTCATAATTCCTTTAAATACCAGTATTGGGTTATACAGCTAGCTACTGTTCCAAAAAATACTTATTAAAGCAAGATAGAGGACGCATACTTTGTATCTGTCCCAACAGAAGATTGAACTTTAATTTTGGACGCTTTCTTTGTATAGAATGCCTAGAAAAAATATTCCACGTCTCACTAGATGTCAAACGTTAGTGGAGTGAAGATGCAAAGAAAGTTGCAGACTGCAGCCATTACCATTACTCTAGCTTGTCGACTGCCATGCCTTTCCGCTACTGGTTTTACTTGCTGCAAGAACACTTTAAACTCTTTTAAGCGAAACAAGCTATTACCTACGAAATCTAAGATTTTTTGGCAATGGCCAGATTGCCATGTTGTCTTTACTCCGGCTAATAACTCCTTTCTCGTGTGATGCAGTTTTCCATCTCTTTCAGTAATTGATTAATTATTTGAATAGCAATGTGATGAAGACAGCGCTCCACTAACTCACTTTCACGAACAGATTACATAAAGATACCTACAGTCAATGACGTATAATATACAGACAGGTCATACACTAACATTATTGCATTTTAAAATGGCACAAGTGGTCCTGGCTCCAACTTCCCTTGGCAACAGTCGCCAATAGAGCGCACTAAAGTAGTCTTTCTCTCTCATTCATAAAACAATTACATTTTGCTTTTTAGCCTTCACGTGTCAACGGTGTCAGCAACTGTCAAAATAAGTAATCACTAAATATTTTTACATTAATTTATTTAAAACTACTCAACTTACGAATGAAATGACACATTTTGTCTTGTCTCTAATAGTTCCCGCCTATTTTGTGTACTTTCTAAAAACACACATAGGGCTTTTTGTCTAATAAAATATAGAATATTTACACGTCGTTGCGAAGTGTAGCCGCGGCAAGAGAGCGTGCCCGACTGAATGCAAGTCGGGCAATTACCTGCCTTTCGTATTGCCAGACTAGAAGCGTGTATGACTTTAAAATATCAAAGCCTACAGTGTTATTTGGTAGTTGTCATATGCAAGGTGAAGAATTCGAGATTATCTTGCAGAAACCTATTCATACTCATATTACAAATGCGAAAGTGTGTATGTCTGTTGCCTCTAAACGCTGAACTGAATAAGATGGGTATAGGTAGGTAATAGTCTGAGTCCCGGGAAGTAACATAGAATCGTTTTTCTCTCAGAAATTATTCTTGAAAGGAGGGGTTGGAAGTTCATATTGGAAATAGTTAGCTATTTGCTACAAATTTTCTTAAAGGACGTAAGTTTAATCGTATAATAATTGGAGTTGGATGGCGCTGCAGTGGTCATCATCAGCATCACTTGCCTATTAATGAATCCAGTGATCAGTATGTCCGCAAATAAAAGATTACATACTTACTTCACACTATTTTTTATATTTCCAACACTCACACCAAACAGCTTAGCCCCAAAGTAAACACTGTAAGCTTGTGTTATGGGATACTAGGGTAACGGATATAATACATATATATATAAATACACAAACATCCATGACTGGAGTGATTTGCACTCGTATTCATCACACAAACATCTGCCCACACTGGGACTCGAACCCAGGACCTCTCGAGTAGGCGATACCTTGAAACTCGACGTTTATACCACTCGGCCACAGAGGTCGTCAAGGTTTAAAATTAGGGTATTCCACTCACAGATTACGGAACAAAGAGATGTAGGCATAGCAGAATATCTATCAAAAAAAAAACACTACCTTTTGGTGGTATTGTCTTTCTGTCGGTAAGTAAGGTACCTGGTCTCCACGGGGTAGAGGCTGGAGTCATGGTAGGCAACGGCGCGAGTGATAGCTTTGGAATCGCAAGCGTCTATTGGCTTTGGTTGCTGTTACCTTCAGGCGGGCCATATGCTTGGCACCATTTCAAAATAGAAAAAGATGAGATACCAGTTAAGGTAAGGAAGTTTATTCTCAGAGATAACGTTATCAGAGGCCCATCAGGCACGCATTTTTACAGCTCCGTAATATAATAGCACCGTCAAAGTTTCTATGGAAACTAAGCACACTAAGCTAACTAAGCCACCAGACGACCAGGCGCGGCGAGGGCTTTGACCCTTATGTTGTCGAAGTTCCTCCCATTCGCACGAAGCGATTTACTTCAGCTTTCATTATGCAAACGGCTAGCCCCAAAGTAAACACTGTAAGCTTGTGTTACGGGATACTTGGGTAACGGATATAATACATATACTAGATATATATATAAATACACAAACAACCATGATTTACTTCAGCTTTCATTATGCAAACGGCTAGGAAGTGGAACTCCTTGCCGAGGTCTGTTTTCCCGGACCAACATAATCTGGACATCTTCAAGGCCAGAGTGAACAGGCATCTTCTAGGCAGGAGTGTACCATCTCAGGCCTCATCATCGCTCTCTATCAGGTGAGATTAAGCATTAAAAAAAAAGCAACGCCACTACTGGACGTAAGAACAAACTGGCCCTTCCATACAAAATTTGACAATGACGATACGATTACGGTGTCGTCAAAATTCGTGCTTTGGCCTCTGGATTTGCCTTTGCTAAAGCTTCCTTACAAGTAGTAGTGCACCGTGGCGAACCGCTGGTAGTCCACCATGATGATGTTGTACTCCCTCGCCTCGTACTCGTTGGCCAGCATCGAGGATATCGGGAAGTTGGTGCTGTCCAGGTAGCCCAATGCCAGGAGGAGGGTCTTCCTGAAAGGTAATATAGAAATATTGAATTAGACATTGGCGTACCGATAAACTAACATTCATTCTGAAATTATTTTGTAATTTCCCACATTAGAATTTTACGATAAGCAGAGTTTTCTTTCCAGGTTGGTCATTGCTTCAGGCACTGACATAGTACCTTATAAAATATCCAAATGAGCACATTGTAATAAATTCCATGTTATTTTGTTGTCGGTTCTAGTCCATTTGATGATATGTGCAGCTTAGATTAAATAATAATATATCTTTACAACAGAGGAGCTTGATTGCGCAAGTGGTTAGCGCGTTCGGCTGCGATCGTTGAAGTTAAGAAACTTTCACAGTGGTCGGTTACTGGATGGTTGATCAAAAATTTTTATTACTTTTCGAGCTTCTTCTTGCTTCGAATAGTACATTCGGCCTTTGGTCCCGGCTGCATCTGCAGTCGTTAGCATCCACCAATCCGCACTTGGCCCGAATGGTGGGTCATGGCCCAACCTCCCTAGGCAAGACCTAGACCTGTGCCCCAGCAGTGGGGACAGTAATAGGCGGTTCGAGTCCACATCGAGGATTTTCTAATAAAATTTTATTTAGATTTAAACCAACTTGGCACTTTTATAGCCAAGACGACCCATGTGTCTCTTTTATGCCCACTTGACTGACAGCTTAAAGCCCTGGAAGTTCTTGATACACGTAACCAAAATCTCCTGGGATATTTTTTATATAGAACGTGAGGATAGTTTAAATATTTAAGAGTGTCTTGATGCGTTAGTGCGTTAGTGCCACCTGGGGGCCATAACGGAAATGCTTTGGAAAACGCTAACGCTTACGATTTCTTTTTGTTATTTCTAGCCGCCTGAGGTTTTCAAATGCCTCGCGCTCTTTTTTTTCTTTTGCATTAGTAATAACATTATTAAAAAATATAAGCGTGAGATATTTGCAAAACTTTCGGCGGTCAGAAATAATAAAATAAAATCAAAAGCGTTAGCGTTTTCCAAAGCCCTTCCGTTAGGCGAATTGCCCCCTGATCCACACCATTAAGCTCTTTAGATTGACATCCCACCCAATGATATTACTACGTGCCTACAGCGCGTATCACGCTTTAAAAAAATGTTTAATGCTTGTGATTACGATAAAATTAATGCCGATATTAATACGATCGACTCGTACTCCGTTTTTAGAAACAGACACTGAAGCGGCAATAATTTTTTTACAGTACTACAGTATGCAATTGTCTTCTACAATTTGTAAAAGCAGCTTTTGCGATGGTGGATGGTTATCGGATGGGTGACCAAAATTAACTATTTCGAGCTTGTCCATGTTTTGGAAGGCACTGCACTGGGCCCGCGTGGTGGCTAATAGCCCGTTGTCCCTATGCTCTCCATAAGATAGGTCTGTAAGGATATTAATAGGCCTTTCCCGAGATTTACCTTGTAAAGTTGATCCTTGGGTCCTTAGCGATGTTCCTGGCGGTCCAGTAGTTGTACTTCTTTCTCGTGTGACCGCGACCTTGTACTACGAACAGCAGGTACTTGAGTTGGCTCCGAGGAATACTGGCGGGCTTTGTCGAGCCTGGACCTGAAAGAAGTTTTGGGTTAATTATTTATTATTGAGGTAGTTCCTTTTATACGGGGTGCAACGAATTACCCCACTCCACCTGATGTTTAGTCTTATTGGATTTCAATCGCGAAGATAGATGATGCGGCAGAAGCTGTGCCGCATCAGCCATCCTCACCTTGTCAGACTGAACCAAACCACCTATCCCGCGGAGTCCTGAATCCCTACTCACCATCAGAAACACAATATCACCAAAATGTTGTGTTATTTTACTGTGGTCTTCTGTAAGGTAAGGCTTCCCCAGATGGATGCTCCAAATCGAGATAATCCGCTGTGCACTTCCTCTCTTAGTTGTTCGCATTTGACGTGTAGATGTTTGTGAGTGGTAGATAGGTGTATTCTTGGTATTTTCACCTCTTTTAAGAGAAGCAGGTTATAGCGTTTTGTTTTGGTAGAATGGGGAGCATTCGATTTTCCAAGTAACGTCTACCTTACAGAGAACTACAAAAAAGGCCTAAAACCGGACAGCGGTATATACTTAGGCGAATGGTGGCAAGTAGGCTGGCAGCATTTCCTCGTTGGATAGCAAGGCTAATCCGTTGACCAAGGTAGCTGCCAGAATTTTGATCACCAGGCACCTCGCTGAGTCTCTTAGACAATTCTTTAGAAAAGGAACGAGCGCTTGGACCCCATGGTCCCATAGGCTCAACACCAAACAAATATATGTAGTTCATTCTCATTAAGAGCCGAATAATTGCGTCCCTCGGAGCACTCAGCAGAGGCCGTCATCGCGCTTGCAAATAAAATATGAAATAAGATAAATGAACATTTTTTTAATATTAATTGTTCAATTATATTATTTCATAATTTTATAGGTTTATTCCGTTTAATTTTATTGCTTATATCAAAGATCAGTACTCGAAAATTAGTTTTTCTAATTTTGTTCTATTATTAGCGCTTAGCTCAAAGCAAACGCTTAAACCTAGTTATCACAACCTGGAAGTCGGTTACAAAATCTTACTTATAGAGTATTTTTGACAGTATTAAAAATAAAATGCCAATGGTTAGCATCTGTGTTTAGAATGCATATTGGCAGGGGATTTTTGCAAAAAAAATATTTATAATTTTACTAAAAATCCACGAAAAAGATAATAGTTTTCTTATCTATTGTCACGTGACTTAAAACGCTTGGAATTGGCGGAGCCTAAAATAACGTCACACGCAAATAAACTTCCGGTTAAAGTGACATTACATTGTATCGGTCGACGTTTTTGTGACATCACACACTAGTGAGACGCCATATTGTCCAGTGAAACGTTTTCGCGGCAACTTAAAAATGGAGTTTTTGATTTGCTTATTTTTACTGAAATACACAACAGAACGATGAACATCGGACTTTTTACGGACTCCATAAACATTAGTCAATAACTTGAGATCGTTTTCTAAAACTTGTCAAATACCCTATTACTACATCCTGTTCTACTATTTTTATAAAATTGTATGTGGCAAAACTGATGACGCGCGAACCGAGCGAAAAAATCGTTAATGGCCTGCGCTGACGACGACTTTGATAAACAGTGTTTTGCGATTCGCGTAGAGTTTCGTTGTATTGTCAATAGATGCATTTTACTTGGCTCCTGTATAATTTTCTTTATGGTCAGATGGTTCGATACCACCTCTTATTTGCTAATGCCATTAAATATTTCGTTATGTACCCATGAATGAGGAGCTCGAGGGCACAGTGGCTAGCGAGTTCATTCTGCGATTGTGGAAGTTAAGCAACTTTCACAATGGTAGGTCATAGGATGGGCGACCAAAAATTTATTATCTCGAGTTCCCTCGTTCTTCGAAAGTCATGCTAAGCCGTTAGGCATAGCACCGATCTGCACAGAATCTTCTTATAGGCCACTTGGATTGGTGCAGATTTAATTAGTTCGTCTAAGAGAAAAAAACCGCGGTTCAGGCCTCCGAAAAAAATCAATTTCTTTCCTTTAGTGGTCTTCTACTTTTCTTTCTGCCTCTCCCTTACTATAAATCCTGTAGGTTTGTTGTTATCCTTATTTTGATCATCCCTTTTCTGTAAACTCGAGTTGGATAGGGATCATTTCCATTTTTTGCTTTCTTTATTTTAAAGAACTTTTGTATAATTTTTCTAAATAATTTTTTTGCGTATTTGAAACCAAAAAGATTAAATCTAAAGAAGATTTTACTAGAAAAAATCCACGTGGACCAGGCAGCAGACGGCACTCGAACCCGTACCCTCCGCTATCCGGACTCTAGCTGATGCACCTTTAGCACGTAAATGCTTAAAAAATTTAACATAACTACAATACCTATTTCTTCTCGAAAATGGTTAATACTTGTAAAGGTATTCGTTTGACATTGTGGGTTAACTACAATGCGAAGTGATGGCGCTGCCTGGCAGCCTAAGAAATACTAGAAAGAATTCGACGCGGCCTTTAGAGCCACGGTAGCATAATGGTCAGTGCAGCCGCCCGGATAGCGGAGGGTTTTCCTAGTAAAATTTTCTTTAGATTTAAACGTCTAGCAATTAAATGCTTAAAATATATATATAACCAGAAAAGCTTCTTTGGAGGTGGGCTCTGAAAGAAAGCATTGGAATATTCCAACATCTTGTTTAATAATTTTTCATATCCATTTAAATTCGCCTATTAAGTCGCATCAATTGCGCTTTATTTTTGACTAACTGTACCCCTAGCACGAACCAATTTGTATCGATGGCAAGTCCGAAATGTCATTGTCAAATGTATACTGATTTTTAGTTCTGGTTACGTACTTTGTGCCGCTGCTGTTCAAGTTTCCATACTAAATTTGACATTGACATTTCAGTTTGCAAATTTGCAATTTGCTATTCGAATTCGATAATGGTTCGTGCTGGGGGTACCGGACAGCAATATTTTCCCGGCAAGTGCCTTTGTTACTTGTGGCATTAGCAAAAAACATTTACTCCAAAATGGATACACCGATTAGGACTGACTGTACGTACGTACGTTAATTAATTCATAAGTGTTTTTCAATACGATATCCTTGGCAGTAATCCATATGATTGCTTTAACTGTCTATAAAGTATCAGCATATTGTACCATGCACGATACCATCATTAACACTGATTGTGTCCGTAGCCAACACCAAAACCAAGTACTTTACAAGGCAACTTAAATTCGCGCCTTGCATGTAGCCATGCATTAACAATAAGCTGTTTGCTTTGTTCTAAGCACACTCACAAGTGTTACTTTACAAAGAACACTATTCATCCTGAGTTTATAAGGTTAAAAAAACTTTATTTCTCAAAAAACCATTCGGTACAGTCGCTTGCATGAGAAAACATTAGTATTGACGACCACCGAGTGGTTTGTATGCCGGCCGGGTTTCATGGTGTCGCCAACTCGAGAGGTCCCGGGTTCGAATCCCGGTGGGGGCAGATGTTTGTGTGATGAATACGAGCATTTGTACTCCAGTCATGGATGTTTAATATGTATATCTATAAAAATATACTTATATATGTATCTGTATATGTACACAAACACATCAACAAACTCCTTTATAATATAGGTATTCCTGACAGCCCTCTGGGCAGAGCCTGCCTGGAGGAGGAGGAGACGAGCGCCAATGTTCTGCTGGAGTGCAGAGGCGTTGCAAGACAAATGACTTCTCTAATGGGAAGCCCGCGGACACTAGTAGAAGCCTGCATCCGGGGACTGCTGAGCTTTCTGGAGGAGCTGGGATGGCAGGACTGATGCCAATCCCCACGCAAAATAGGCACTGAGTGTCTTGTTGCGGAAACAGCCTGCCGTACTACTAAGACTAAGACTATCTGTATATGTATTCTATCCGTTACTCTAGTATCCCATAACACAAGGCTTACAGTGCTTACTTTGGGGCTAGGCTAATTGGTGTGTTGGTTTTTTTTTAGTTAGGCAAAAGTATAAGTGTAGTGCAGTCGGTAGGTGGCAGAGGCAGTCAGTAGTAGTAGTAGTTCTTAGTTTATCAAGTGTAATATTATGTTGTTTTAATCTCTTTTTATAGAAAATGGGTGCGTGTACTTATGTAGGCGCGTGAGAAGTTATCCTTCTTTGGCATCGTTTAAAATTAGTTTTTAATTGCATGCAAATAATTAATTACAATAAATTAATAAAAAGTCTGGAAAAGGACACAGTCAATAAAGTTCAGTTTTAATTTGAAAAAATAAATAAATAATCAAAATATTCAATTAAAATCGCTACTGAATATAATTTATTAGAACATATGTGATTTGCACTTGTATGAAACTCAAACACGTATTCCGAATATACAAACTAGAAACATGTGGATAAATATTATAAATACCTATAACTGTTACTTTATTACAAAAAATAAAGATGTGGTTTTTGGTTCTACTACACCAATGGTCAAGAGATGGCGCTGTAGTCTCCTGAATCGCGCTTTGGTTCCGTTGTTCCAGATTAATAAATACTTTTGATAGGCCTTCACAATGCAGTCGTTAGCATCCACTAAATAGAGATTCTATTTCTATTTTGTTGGTAGATTTTCTTAATGTGCGGTAAACACAAAAGTAACGCATGCTGTTAAAATTTTGTGTTGCAGTTATGCGCGCGCATCTTAAAATTACACTCTCATCATTTTTTCATAACGCGTCTAAAGAAGTATAACTTTAATATTGATTGATTCTGCTTCCTTTACATAATCGGGTAACATGGTAACCTATATCTGTGCTCCTGCAAATGTTATGGTTTTCTTACCGTAGCTGGTTCTCGATTTAGGGAGTAACATCTTACTGTATCTTCTAAGTGAATATCAAGGCAATTCGTGAGATCTAGTTAATTTTATTTTGGTGTTTTTTTTGAGAGAGAATTATGTAAATAAGTATAAGCGTATTGTCTATAGAATTGCTTAAAGATCAGTTACTTTGGTTTCCATATAAATTTTATCGGTACTAGTTAGATAATCGTAATCGAATAGAACTTTTATGATTTTGTTTTGTAGTACTTGTAATTCTTTGA